AGGGGTGTCTTAAACACACACACAGCTCAAAGTGAACAGTTTCCTAAGTCCACACAAGTGAGGCTTGTCAACACACAAGTGAAGCCTACATTCAAACTTGGAATGATGCCTAAGCAATTGGTCCCCCAGCGGACAGTCCAAAGAACGGCCAACACTTGTCTTAAGAGTTAGTTGGGTCCCACAAGGCAGCCAACTGGAGCACCACTCCAAACACCTGCACCTCAAGACAAGGACTGAAGAGTGTTTACATTGGCAGCTCGTGGTGGTCGCTTCTTTCCTATACCTAAGAGGTCTTTGAACTGACCCCTCACTGGCTAGTTTGCAAAGTTGTATGCTGCTTCATTTATTTTTCCCTGTAAACTTTGCAGTTGTTTGTTTTTCTCTACTTACTGACTCTAGAGTACGCTAGGCTATTTTGGAACCTTAGGGTTGATGTGACTTGTGGAGCTATTTCAGTACAAGCTTCATGAAGCCCCTGGTATTTACAGATTTTATTCAAAAAATACTGAATGAAGTTAAAAACTAAATCGAACACCTTTGATATCATCAGCAATGTCATTCACGACAGGAAGTTTTGCAGAGTGGAAACTTGCAACCGTCCCGCAAATAATTAAAAAGGAAAGGAAGGCTTCTTGTAATTATTGGCCTATCAGTTTGATCTCTGTAATTTGTAAACTTGAAGAAACAATAGTTCAAAACCAAACAGCGCAACATTTAGGCACTATATTAGTTCCCATTATTGGGGACAGGAAGCTTATCATGTTTAACAGGGGTCTCCTTAAACCAATGACTAACCTTCCCTAGATGCATCACATAATAGCTGCCTAACTCCCAGGAATGCATTTACTGCTAGGTGAACAGAGCCATCAGATGAAAAGAAACAGGCGGATTTTGACGAGGGATGGATGGAAAGCCAGTACCTTATTGGTCATCCTCCCAAAGGTGAATTTTAAACTAGAGTACATATTGTCTTTGCATTTGCGGCTACATTATCTGTTATCCTATGGGTAAGAAAAGCATCGCGGTTATGTCCTACGTTATAGTATTTAAAGTAGATGATGTTGCTCCATGTACAAATTGCATTAGACCATTTAATTAAAGAAGTGGTATTAATAAAATTATACTGTATTTTAAAGGTCTCGATAAGATGAGCAAAGTCTTGTTAGTCTCAAGGCACTAAACCTTTTCAGGTACGAGCCGACTTAGTCTTAGCATGGTTTATGACTGTACTAAACCTTTTCCAAAGCAGAAATGTTGCCTTGAAAGGTCTCCATGCTTCAATACAGGAGTTCAGATGGGGGGTGCATCAGCTGAATAAACACTTCCTTTTCTTTGAAAAGTCAAAACTCATTTAATTGTTTAACATCTGGTTGGTATTTTTTACCATATTTCCTGAGCAGCCTTCAGTACCTGGTGGATAATTGCTTCAAGGCCCACTTTATTCAATCTGCTTCAGGGTCGGGTTGCTGATATGGTAGTTATGATACTTAATATTATTTGAAAGGGTTAAAATAATACTTTTAATGTGATCTGTGACTTGCCCGAAACGCTATGCTTATTAGTGGCTGTACAAGAATGTAAGAAGTCTTGTATATATAAGTAAATACAAAAAAATATAAAAGAAAATACTGTATTGAAATTGTAAAACCAGTAACTGGTAACACACTTGCCCTGTGCCCCATCTGGCCAAGGAGTATTGATTGGGTGTCAATCCTTAACTGTTCGTCCAATTACAGTAATTTTATTGGTTAACCTAACAGGTCATGTTCTAGAGGAAAACAAACATCCTACCAGGTTCCACCTAACCACCTCATATGAACAAAAAATGCAGTGTGAGCATTACTTCTCTCCAGACCCTTCTGTACTTTTCTTCGACATTCCTCAATACTTCCAATTGCCTCAGTACTCTGCTCGTCACTTGGGCTGGACAGTAGAGTGACAGTCTCATTTCATACATGATGGCATTTAATTCTTGACCGTCCAAGTAGTTGGGCACCATTCCTTTCCTTTCCATCCCATCCCATCCGAAATCCTCATCTTGATCCCTTCAAAGTGCTATCTTGTTATAATGACTTAATGCTTGCAGGCGATGAGTCACAATAACGTGGCTGAAGTATGTTGACCAGACCACACACTAGAAATTGAAGGGACGACGACGTTTCGGTCCGTCCTGGACCATTCTCAAGTCGATTGTCTAATGCTTTCTCCTAACAGTTCCATTCCATTCAGTACGTTGCTACCTGTAGTTTCATTAATGTCACACTTCTGTATCTGGCATTCGTGCACCACGGGTTAGTCTCGCTAGTCTCGAGTCCTTTCCAGAGTAACATGTAATTTCTCACGACCGCCAAGCATTTCCAGATTAAATCTATTTGTTGTCCTCCCTCGAGAAGACAATCACACCCTCTGTAAGCAATGATTAAAAGATAGCACATATATAACAGAGTATTTTACAGAATATTCACAAGCCATAAGATGAGCAATGTCAAAGAATTCAGATTCATCATTGAGGTACCCAAGACTCAATAGTGGGAAAACAAATTTTGCTGGTCATCTTAAAAATTGGAACATTCTACAAATAGGTCTGTGTATGACTCACCAGAAACTGTAGTAAGGTGCACATCTATTCCATTAGGTACCTACAAATTAATCGTGTTCGGCCTATATGCAAGTTAGTCATTTCTCCCCTAGTATTTTGATGACAAGGGGATAAGTCATATTTAATAGTACTTAACTCTTTATTAATAATAGCTAACCATCTATTACTCGGGTGTGGATTATTCCATGTTTGACATGGTAAAATAAAGTCACAATAAGGAATTCAATTTTCAGACACAGGAATTTTCTTTTTAGTCTTAATGGCCTTCTGGACTAAATGTCCATCATCCTGGTGCCTTCCTCCAGTTCAACTCTGTTGTCACATACAATGACAGGGGTCACTGGCTTATAGTAGTACTGTACATTATATTTTGATCCTCTAAATGTCTATCAGAGTCTGGGTAAAAACTAGTTTGTCTTGCCAATTTAGTTCCCATTAGGTGTTGGATGCATTGTGACACCTCATGAAGTAATCATCAAAATAAAGTATTAAGACAGTTTACTAAAATGCCATACTATATGCCAGTAGTCACAAATACTTAAAAATAATCTAGATATTGCACAGGATGCCTATATCGAAGCTGAACAAGTCAGCTAAACTGGAGGTCAGATTCACTTAGTTCTTACAAAGACAATGTAAAGCAACAGTTGGGAAGCATCTCCAACTTCACTCTATGCATTTCATCTCAACGGTAGGGATTTCTCAATTTCCCTGTCATCAAAATATTCCAAGAGCTTTGCTGTCATTTTTGTTGAAATGCAACAACTCCTGAATACCAGGACAGACAAGAAATTGGGAGCCACAGAAGGACCCACCAGAAAGAGGGATTTCATTATACTGAACACTGGAATTTTGGGAGAGCTCCTCTCAGTGGCTCTCCCAAGCTAACTCCATGCAGAACAAACCGAAGGGCCTCCCTATGGGAGGAGGAAGAGAAGGCAGGAATCCCAAAGTGGGTAATACTAGGCATCTGACCCACCACTACCAGCACTTGGGGCATGAACCAGGCAACGAGCCACCAAGAAAGAAAGAAAACCACGAACCTGAACAACCAGCCAGGACAAAAAAAGACCAAGAAGGTAGACAAGCCCTGAAAAATGTAAATAACCTGGACCTGTGAAAAAATGGCAAGCCAGTAAAACGAAATCATAAAGCGAGCCACAAAGAAACCCCTGAGCAAAGGAGCAAGAAATCTGGGTCACCGACCCAACAAAGCAGGAAACGGCATACCGCTGCCACTGAGCCAAGCGCAGGGCAAACCACCAGGTGGAACCAGAAACCGAGAAACCATGAAGGTCCCAGCCCTAGTTCCAACAGCAGGCTAGAGGATGACTACTAATGAAAGCATTCAAGTACTGTATGCATTTTTGAAGACGAATTGTAGCCTCATCAATGCATGAGGGGGCAGATATGCAGTCACATCTCTGGAAGGTGCACTTATTATGCATGTGCCAGAGCAGTTGGGGGTGAAAAACAGTTTTTGAATCAACCTATTGAACAAGAAGATTATGTATGTGTAAATCAAGGATAGCAAGTTCATCAGAATAAGAGATAAAATATTTTGCCACTGTAGATAAAGCAAACAAATCCTGGTATGCAATTAAATAGGACAAAGCTAAGTGTGACTACAGCACAAAGTCACCCAACAGCAATAAACAGGAAACATTTCACATCAATCGATGAATCAATAACTACAGGCAACATGGACAACATCTCCACCACAGGATAGGGAGAGGATCAAAAGAAAGCACCAAGCCCAAAGCCAGGTCAGGGGCCCAAAACAGCAGGAGCCATCTCAAGGGAAGGAGGAACCACTCTTCCAATCTGGTTCGACTCCAAAGCCTAGTCACCCCCACCACACGAGAAGTAGGGCTGTGTGTAGTAGTAGTAGTAGTAGAAGCAAGCATACAACAAAAGATTAGCACATCCCTCCACCCAACCCATTACGAACCAACAAAGGAAGTACAGGAGCACCTCCAAAATCTGGATAGTTATTCTGAATTTGCATGAAATTCAGTTTCGTGAAAATTTGCCCCATTTCAGCCCCCCCTCACCACGTCAATGCAGCAACCACGAGAGGGTCACAGCAGTACCAATAGCTGCTTATGTTATTGTCATGTTCATCATCAAGGCAACCATACCCTAATTCATATTAACTTTTCTTACACAATTTCAGAAAGGATAAAAAAGAAAAAAAAGTCTTTAAACAGGTTCTGGAATCAAATAGGTACTATGAAGGCTGCAGGATACAAATTTTGAGGGATAGCTACCTAATTTGATTAAACTGCTACATTTCAAAAGAAGATTTAAAACACAACATATGATGGATGCTGGGCTAAAAGAATAGCATAGTACATACGCTTTGGTGCAAGAGAGAGACTAAGGCCAATAAAAAAAAATATGACCAGAGTCCTACATGTATTTACAAACAAATTAACATGCGTCATAAAGCACCCTTTTTGGTATTTGTTATTAGTATAATGAATAAGACCAATTAGGAGTATTTCAACAATAATAATCTTTCGTACTCGAGTGACAACAGTTCTGCCATTTATCGGTATGGTTAATATTTGCACTCGCTGAAATTATCTTTCTTCCAATCTATACGAGACCAATCTCTCGACCCCAAAATATTACTTCAGTGCATATCTTATATATGTACAAGCAACAAAGGAAAACATTTGTAAGAGCTGTACACAATTTTTAACAAAATTAGGGGCAAAATACCCTTGAATTAAAGTATTTTTCGATGCTAACATAAACAGGAGGTAAAGCCTTTTCAAGTGGCAAAATGACATTGTTACATATTTACATTATGTTCATTGCTAAGAAGAGAAGGGAAGTAACTTGTGAACAGTTATCTTACAAAAACACTAAAGGACTGTACATTATTCTGAACTTATTACAGGTCCTGAACACATCACATGACACTTGGAATAACCAATAGGAACAGTCGATGTCCAGTGGCAGGTGAATGGTGGGTTCAACACATTAAATAAAAAACCCTCCAATAAAATCACGCGAGTCACAAAACTGAAATTGATTTGTCGTGAATTCTCAAAATCAGTCCCTTTTAAGCCATGAAAAAGCAAGCACACAGAATCACTTTCAATTTTGCTTCAATCATTTTTGCCTTTATTATTTTGTTGCTATAATTATTTGTTTCACTATATTTCAGTGAACTAAAGTTCTTTTGAAGATTTAGCCAATACAAAATCCATACAAGTTGTCCTAAGAAAACTTTACTTCTCTTGACAATTTTTAGCTAAATTGAAATACACTTTCTCTATTTCACCAAAAGAAATACACCTCCAAATGCAGGCGATGAGTCACAATAACGTGGCTGAAGTATGTTGACCAGACCACACACTAGAAGTTGAAGGGACGACGACGTTTCGGTCCGTCCTGGACCATTCTCAAGTCGATTGTGAATGGTCCAGGACGGACCGAAACGTCGTCGTCCCTTCAACTTCTAGTGTGTGGTCTGGTCAACACCTCCAAATCTTTGTAAAGGTATGGAGTACAAGATATACAACTAGCCCCACCAGTAAAAACCCTTGACCAGCCCCCGAAACACGGAAATTACAATTTTCTAACTGGTAAAAATTCACTAATCTCTGGAACAGCGCAGAAATGACTTCATTAGCTACTGGTAGATAAGTACAATGTAATGAATTGCTTTCATTGTTAAATAAGGGATCAGATTACAATTACCTCGGTAGTTTTTGGCTGCCGTTATTCAAGCTATACTGATGTTATAGATAGCTTATGTGCTATTGCTGTTCCAGCTATGATCTTGGCTTCCTGTTGTGACCAACAATTGAATATCCATTATAGTCAGCACTTGGCATTCTGTCTTGCTAATGAAACCAATTCTTCCTTTGCAAATGTAATGCGCTTTTAACCTTGTGCTGCAGTTTTTTTTTTTTACCTACTGTACACTAAATTTTATATTTACATGTTTATAAACAAAATCATATTTAAATTTTAAATATATAACAAAATAGAGCACAAAAAACTATTTTCTTACATTACTAATTGGGTTTCTGTAGTAATTTGCTACTGAATTTCACAATTATATTAAGAAGTTAATTAATTATTCAGTTATTGTATTTCACTACAACTGGATAAATTATTCCATTATTTCACCACAAACAAATGGACGATTAAATGTTCTCTTGATAAAACTCTGCTATACTGAAGCACTTATGGTACTTTTTACAGCTTATTTTTAATTAGGTTAAAAATTGGTTTGTATAACTTCCTACAGTTGTTGAAAGTTCCTGCAGGTTCCCATTTTCTAAATTTAGTTTTCACAGTTTAATATAATATTTTGACAACCTTCAGATTACTTCCAAATTAAATATACTTGTAATTAGCCATTACATCTTATTACATTTCATGACTGCAATTACTGTTCTCTTTTAGAACTTAAATTAGCTGCAGGGCAAGTAGATTGGACACCCAAGAAATGAGTTTGCTAAATACTGTCTTTTCCACGAGTAGTGCTTCAAACAGTGATACCTCTTCAACATGTCAGGTGCTGAGAGTTGATTACTGTACTTGGTGCTGGGACACTGCATTTCAATACCTATGGTACCTGAAAGGAAAATAAAAATTATTACAGTAACTACAAATACACAGTCTCCGTGGTGTAGTGGTAAGACACTCGCCTGGCGTTCCACGAGCGCTATGTCATGGGTTCGTATCCTGGCCGGGGAGGATTTACTGGGCGCAATTCCTTAACTGTAGCCTCTGTTTAACGCAACAGTAAAATGTGTACTTGGATGAAAAAACGATTCTTCACGGCAGGGGATCGTATTCCAGGGACCTGCCCGAAACGCTACGCGTACTAGTGGCTGTACAAGAATGTAATAACTCTTGTATATATCTCAAAAAAAAAAAAAAAAAAATGTGTATCTTCACATACAGATATACTGAACAAGTAATTATCAAAAGATGGCACCAAACCAGGAAGGCTATGTAGCACCATCAAATATGCGGAATAATCAGAGGGCGCTAAATATCACAAAGGATGCTAATATGAGAACAGAAACACACAAGGCGAACGACATCAAAAGTATCCGATTCACCAAGAATTCTACCGAGGGACAAGTGACTGCGAGGGATGATATACTGGACAAGTCAACTAAATACTAAAAACCAACACAACACATTACATTTTTTTCGTGTATTTTCACCAGCATAAGTTATACAGCTGTACCATTTTCACCAGCATGGGTTACAAAGGCTACGCCATTTTCACCGGTATGAGTTACAAAGGCTACGCCATTTTCACCGGCACGGGTTACGAAGGCTCCGGGGCAAGATTGGGGCAAACAGGTAAGCCTCTAGCAGTTCAAAGAAAGAACTGTCCAGGAATACCCAAAAACCTGACCCATCACAAACCACTTGAGCAGCTGGGGATAGCAAAAACTTTGCTAAACCCCTAGAGAAAACATGGGAATGTTGGCAAGCAAGGAGGAGAAAGGAACATCACATCTCAACCAAAATGTAGAAGTGGCGAAATTCTGAACCTGGAGGAGGAACTGAAACAAAACCACCTACACTGCCAATGCAAAAGAATGTCTGTTGAAAACCTCCACACACACAAGATGCATATCTAAGGACCCTAATGGAACCTAAAATACACACAGGGAGTAACCGAGAAATCCAGAGCCAGAATTCATACCAGACGTCTGGCAGATAACGTCCCTCCACAATGATGGATTCATGCCCTCTCCTTGTATAAAACAAATTTTCAAATCTAAAGGAAACCAAACCCAGATGGGAAACAGACTCAACTACCTCTGCTACAGGCAAGGAAGAGGCAAAGAAGGGGCAAGAGACCATACCACCACAAAACAATGACAGTGTAAGGACAAAACCAAAGCGAGAGGGAATATAAACAAACTGGGAGGATGCCTGTGGAAGCAGGATGAATGATCATCAGCATATAGTAAAATTGATGTGTATCCTTTATAACACCCACACAAAAAGTATGGCCTTGGCACACCAGCCCATATCTCGACCACACTAAAGACTTGCTTATGATTTCCAGGCCCAGACAGTGACAACTGAGCAGGGGTATCAGGCACAAGTGGCCACTCAACAGGAACAATGGTTGCTACAAAGGGTATAAACAGCATGCTGGAAAAAAACCCCACTCAAACCCCTACACACACATCCAGCAAAGAAAACTTAAACCACCCCAACCCTCACAGAAAAGTCGAAGACTCCTTTTCTTCTAACTTTGGCATACAATATGTAACACGTTTCAACCCTCACAGAAAAGTCGAAGACTCCTTTTCTTCTAACTTTGGCATACAATATGTAACAATATGTTTCTGCCCGAAACGCTGCGCGTGCTAGTGGCTTTACAAGACTGTAATTACCATATTTGTATCCTCACATTCCTTATGTACATTCTTGTATATGCATAAATAAATAAATAAATAAAATAAATAAACACTTCTAGCCTCCATTCATAGTTCTTATTTTTCAGTTCTGAAAGCCATTTTGTAGCATTTCTTTGCACCTTTTCATATTTAATGTGCTGCTTGAGAGCGCCTGACAGCTGGGTGGACAGCGCTTCGGATTCGTAGTACTGAGGTTCCGGGTTCGATCCCCGGTGGAGGTAGAGACAAATGGGCAAATGTTTCTTTCACCCTGATGCCCCTGTTCACCTAGCAGTAAATAGGTACCTGGGAGTTACGACAGCTGCTACGGGCTGCTTCCTAGGGGGTGTAACAAAAAGGAGGCCTGGTTGAAGACTGGGCCGCGGGGACGCTAAACCCCGAAATCATCTCGGATAACTAAGATAACCATACAACTGCTGCATATTCCAATTTTGGTCCAAATGGAGGTTATAAACAATTTCTTTAATATTTCACAATCCATGTACAGTATTTAAAAAGGCTACTAAAGTGGGAAAGCTCAGCATATACTCTTTGCTTGAAGTCTTTGGTGACAGTTTAATATCCAGAACCACCTCTAAATCTCTGTCACAGTTCTTTAATGCCTTTCCACATCATTTCAATTAGTATTAAGCTTGTCATTTAAGTTTATCATGCCCGAAACGCTTTGCGTAATAGTGGCTTTAGGCATTGTATGTACTAGCTATACCTATAAGTTAAACAATCCTTGTAAATATTTATTGTATGTATGTACCTTACCTAAATAAAATTGTATTGTATTGTATTGTATTGTATTTGTAGGCTGTGTGTGTGGCCTATTTTTTCCTACTCCACTTTCCCACAACATGGCATTTATTCATATTGAATTCCATTTGCCAAGTACTGTTCCATTCACTTATTTTGTCCAGGTCATCTTGAAGGGCATGACAATCATCTAAGTCCCTTATCTTCTATAGTAGCTAAGCATCATCATCAGGCATGTTCATATAGTTCTGTATTCATTCTGGTAGGTCATTTACATAGACGATGAATATCACTGGTGCAAGAAGTAAGCCCTGAAGTACTCTGTTTGTAACACGTCTCCAGTCAGATACATTGCCCCTGATTACTGCTCTAATCTTTCTGTCAGTTAGAACATTTTTCAACCATGTCAGACAGTCTGCTTGTAATTTTTTTTTTTTTTTTTTTTTTTTTTTTTTTTTTTTTTTGAGATATATACAAGAGTTGTTACATTCTTGTACAGCCACTAGTACGCGTAGCGTTTCGGGCAGGTCCCTGGAATACGATCTCCACCGCGAAGAATCGTTGTTACAACCAAGTACCCATTTTACTGTTGAGTTAAACAGAGGCTACAGTTAAGGATTTGCAGTAAATCCTCCCCGGCCAGGATACGAACCCATGACAAAGCACTCGCGGAACGCCAGGCGAGTGTCTTACCACCACACCACGGAAACTGGTAAACTGACTGACTGACTGACTTGTAACACCTCCAGCATATTCATGTTTCCAAAACCTCTTGTGTGGGACTGTCAAAAGCCTTTGATGCTCAGACATACGAAGTCAACATAGAGAGCAGGGATAAAAGGTGGGTGTAGAACATAGTTCTTCAAAGTCCGGGTCACAATAACATGCCGACTGGCTCGCTGGTTCACAATAAATAAATAGAGAAAAATATTGGTCAATGAAATAATTAAGAATTTGAAATATGTATATAATAATCTTGTTATTACCTTTGTCGTCAATAATTTGTTTAACTACAGTATTAAATTATTTAATCATAACACTAATAGTTGCCTTGGCATGGTTAAAAAATGACAAGAGAGGTTAAATGAGAGAGGAAGAAGGGGTAGTCAGCAAGACAATTCAAATGCATACATTATGACAGGTGTGTTCCACACATCTATGTCTTTGAAATGATCACCACTTTAGTTGCATTTGAACTTCAAGTGTGTCATGTGGAGCTTTTTTTTTTTTTTAAGTTGTATTGAGTTTATACTCTAATCCTGGAATAAAATAAATCTCTTTGTTAATATAATAACTGGAGTTGCTTCTTAATAATTAAAGACTCCTTGTACAACTGAGAAAGACAGGTCTGTAGGTGAAAATGTGATGAGTGTCTGCATCCTCTTCAGCCAAGAGAAAAAAGTAGATGGTTCAGTCAAGATCTCTGAAGTACAGTAAGAAAACGGAAATGATTTCAGAGCTGGGGACCAAACTAGAGTTTGTCGTGGATTCAGAATAAGTAACACAATCATAGTTGACATCTGTGAAGAGGCCCTGGTATCGCAGCCAACATCCCTGGCAATAATGTATGTGGTGCGAGACAACAACAGTACCTATACTTGCGTTTAGTCGGACATTCTTGATGATCATGGCGGCTCTTCAACATGAAGCACGGTCAGCTGGTTCCCGAGACTGAGCTTCAACAACATGCATGCCAGACTGTCTGAAATGGATGGTAACATTTTGCTCAATCTATTTGATCTATTGTGAATGTAGGAAATCAACAACTGTATATTTCTCAGTAAAATTAAGAAAATATATTTGTTCTAATAAGACTGACCAAACATATCATATGAAGGAGCATGTGATTATTTGGTTATTTCTGAAGATAAACTTAAGGTTATCTTGAGATGATTTCGGGGCTTATTTAGTGTCCTCGCGGCCCGGTCCTCGACCAGGCCTCCACCCCCAGGAAGCAGCCCGTGACAGCTGACTAACTCCCAGGTACCTATTTACTGCTAGGTAACAGGGGCATTCAGGGTGAAAGAAACTTTGCCCATTTGTTTCTGCCTCGTGCGGGAATCGAACCCGCGCCACAGAATTACGAGTCCTGCGCGCTATCCACCAGGCTACGAGGCCCCTTACTACTTACAAGGTTACTACTACTTTTCCTTATGTATTTACCAGATGTGTACTAATTAAGTTTGTTACCTGTATGTGTTTTAAATCTGACTTTTCTAAGTACAGTACATGATCTTAGTGAAAATGAAATCTCTGTTAATGCTGCAAAAGTTATATATTTGTTTAATTTTATAAACTACTTTACTAAATTAATTTAAAATATTTTGCTGAAGTGCCAGGACTATGAATTAGCACCAGTGGGATCAGCTGATGAGCACCATTACTCACCATACCCAAAAAAATACCAAAAAGAATGACATTTCCTGATGTCATCTCTGGAAAACGATGACCAGTATTGGTCATCCATAGAAAACTGATGAGAACCAGTAATATACTAAGAGATAATTCGTGGAAAGTGGAGAAACAATTATTAAATTATTATCCTAACGTGACGAGCCACAGGTACAGCATTCAATGTCTGCAGAATATCACAATCAAATAATTGATGACCTAAACCTATGGAATCTTAATTTGCACAAAGTATTATTAAAATGTTGCCCTCGAGGGCAAACTGTAAATATCACAACATAATATTTGTGCAGTATTTGGTTGTTATTTATTCATTTAAATATTTACAAGACACTAAAATGAGTTTTGATGAGTTTAAGTCCTGATACATTATCCTACAGCTGGTGTTAACACTCATATAGCTGAATTGAAGAAGGGGAGGAGTGGGGATTGATTGCCCAGAAGAGACATGTGATCATCTGTCAGTCTGTCTATTGTTCTCTGTCTAGTCTGGCAGTCTGTGGCACTGACTCTGTGCAGTCTGTATGGTAGATGCTGACAGCCTGTCTAGCTTGTCTTGCCTGACACCCCAACTTCAAATTATTTTGTGGCTTTACACGAGTGCTGTAAGACACCAACGAAATACTGGAATCATATGGTAACATTGGTATTCATACACTTATGCAAGACCCTGATCATCATTTGATGATCAAAACATGAGGATAACTGCACTTTGGGGAGTTAAAAAAAAAATTATCCATGTTAACACCAGCTGAGAAGAACACTTACGTTTAAGTAACTGCATCCACTTGGTTTCCCTCTCGTTGATGTGTAGGTCTCGAGTCTTTTCTTGATGGACATATCAAGAGAATTATTTCTCATCTTGGCTTGACAGTGTTCATGGCATGATTTCTCCAAAAATAGCAAGCAGGATTGGATGAGATTTTGCATTAAATGCTTAAGTGTAATAAATAATAAAAATAAATAAAAATATGTCTATTGAAAAATAGTGATCATGAATAATAAATACCAAAATAAGCTCTCCCAATATTGGTCAGCACACTAAAATTGGATAAGCATTCCCTGCAATACAGGGCAGAACAGGCATTAAATCGGGAACAGTATTAGGTAGTTTATGTTAACTTCTTTCTTAAAAGGATGTGTGACAGACTTTGGTGAGGCAAAGTACAATATATACACAACGTTTTTATACAGTACAATTCTTCATGACTTGGCTTGGTTAAGACAACTTATGCTGATTGCTAAAAAGCTAAAAGGGAAGCTTTTCTAAGTGCTTTCAGATCCAGAAATCTTTTAAGTTTATCACAGGTTTAGCAAGAATATCTTTACATAACTAAAGCTTTTCCATAGAATCACATGTCTCTTTAACACTTAAAACAACAGGTTGTGTGGAGACTAAAGAGCAACAGTCTCACAAATCACTCGTCTGTGCCTTACATTTACTCTTGGCTGTCATCACAGTCGTACAGGTCTCAACGTATTGTTTATAAAGTGCAAGGACAGTCGGAGGACGAGGAATCTGCAATGGAATTATCCCCTTGGTTTCACCACCTCCACTCAGCACCCCTTCCAATATCTGTTCAATCATCTTTGATTTACTTGGTGACCCTATTTCCCTTTCCAGTAACTGGCACCAATGGGCACGAACATCATCTGCCGTGGCCTTGTCTTCTTCCACACCACCTAACTGAGTTAAAGCAGGTATAATCAAAGAGTTCACTCTTCCATGAATTTCCCTAACGTGTTGCTCTTCTCCATTAAGAAATGCCTCGATAAGTTGTTCATTTAGAGTCAGTAAGCATGCACGTCTGCACTTCCAAAGTACTTGTCTATCCAATGTCTTTTTGGTACCCGATGGTGGTCGATCTTTCAGCTCGGTATGAATTCGACAAGCACGCAACAATAGAGGTAGAGCACGTTCTAAATTACCTTTATCATAATGACGATACCCATATACTAGGTGCCAGGCACAGTCAATGAGGGAACGGTAGTGTCGTCGCCAGCCACGGTACTCGGGCCCTTCAGTACGCTGGTGCTGTTCCCGAAGCTGATGCAAGTATTGTGCAGCCTCGAGTGCTACTCTTTCCACTACAGGTGTGCGTTCACTTATATTATGTGCTACTTGTAAGACTACCTCACATCCATACCATCGCAAAAGTGTGTCTACATTCTGGTTATTTCGTATAAGGTACACCCCAAAGTCTAAAATAGAAGGTTCACTATAAGGATTGCTCTCGTCATTTACATCAGCAAAACTCTGAAGACGTACAAATTCATTAATCAAGACAGTATTCAACAGAGTCCCACGTTCTCGTTGCAATGCATTTTCATCTTTTTTAGCAAGAGCATCAAGAATGGTTTGAGTGAGCATAGTTTGAACCTCAGTGAAAAAACTTGCTTCGTCAGCTTCCTGAACGCAGATGATATCAGGGGAGTTTGGGGCTGTAACTGGCACTAATGGCATATTATTATCCCATGAACTGGTGCCACTTTGTTGATCTTGCAAATCCCCTGAAGTGTCCTTCCCTTTGTCACTCTTCTGCTTCAGATCCCAATCCTCCAATTCTCTCATGAATGCTAAATTGTCATTTTTGACATACTCTTGCAAGTCGATAGCACAACTGGCCATCATGCTTTCTATGGTCTCTGGCGTTTGAGGAAAGAGTGTATTATAGCGACTCTCATCAATATAAAGGAGGCAATATGCACTTGCATTGTTCTGGCCACCAACACTATCCTGCAGAAGCTCTTCCCAGTTTGATTCAACAACTTGTATGTCATTGAATTTCATCCATGTTTTGCGTGTATTATCAAATGTATAAACCCAGTAATGACCTCCAGAGGCCTGCCCTTCATGAACTACTACAGCATGTAACCTATATGGAATCTGTTTTAGATAGTGTTCATCATACATTTTATTCAGTTGTTGCTGAAGCTCGCTAATACATTGACGGAGTTCTGCAACTTGTGAGTTTATGTCCTGAAGCCATCGTGAAAGACAAGTTTGCAAAATGGATAATTCAGAAGTAGTTATGTTTCGTGGTGCTGGAGGGAGTATCCTCATTCTTTTGGATGGAGATGGCATCTGCTGTGGCTCCTCATCCACCTCTCCCTCATTAGAGCCAAGGTTATTTGATACTACTGCTTCTTTCACTATTAAGCTGTCTTCTAGCTCTTCTTTTAATATTAAATTATTTATGACGGCTTCCCCTGCTATTAATATCCTCGACTTGTTCTCCTTTTCCGTGCCATTTTCCTCTAAACGTTCTTTTTTAACTTCTGGGGCATCAGCCATTTCAACATCATTTTCAACTGCTTCAAGCCCATCCACCTCCATCATAGATGGAGATGGAACAGAATTAGCTTCTGTTTCCGATACTGGGTTAAGGCCAGTTTGTGCAAAATCTAGAGTGTATTTGAGGATATCTCCAATTGGATATTTTGCTTCACCAGTACCATACTTTTGGTATCTATCAAGAGTTTTCGTTAAACTATTCAATTCCCCCTTTAATTTAGCAACTCTTATGTGTTTCTCTTTTATAATCTTTTTATTGATTTCCATATAGCGATCCATAAACAAAAACTCTGGAAATACAAATTTATTGTGAACTTTCTCAGCTCTCTTTTTCTCATGAGAATACTCGTATCGAGACAAAGAAAATATTAAAACAGGTGGCAACATCTTAAACCAGGTTTCCTGTTGCACCGGTTCAACAACATCCCCGAGTGTGTTTGGCATACAGCTAGCCATTGATGCCAAGATACTGTCATGAATATCTTCAAAATTCATCACATGTAGGGGATACTGGCCAAATGCTTCCTGTTTTGGACCATTATCATCATCACATATTTCTTTTTTTGACTGACCATAAAAAAGTTTCATAATTGGATTATCAAAATCAGCATCCTTAGAGACATGGCATCCAGAACTCTCCTTTTCTACTCCCTGTCGACGTAGCAGTTGCTGAAATTCTTCTTCCAGTCTCTCTAGTAGTTTGTGGGTGAATTCACAAACATCCTGCTGGGCATTTTTTCTCATTTCCTGCCCTTGAAATATATGAACAGCATGAGTAGGGTCTATATACTTTCTATTTGAGCCAATCATTAAAGAAAATAGTTTACGTAAAGCTGGAACAAGCTGTCTAGAAGATTTTTGCGTTTCCTCCATTTGCTCAACATCCCCATTTTGAGAAAAATTAAGGATCAAATCTCGAAACACCGGTATGTGAAAGAGAGGTTGTATAACAACATTAAACCAACAAGAGTTGCCTATATTTTTAAGCCCCACAGGAACTCCAGGTTGTCGTTTACGTTCCTGCGGATTCAAAAGGTCAATAGTAGCCTGAGGTTGCGATTCCTTTAGGCTAGCTTCTAAGGCTCGAGAAACTTCTTGATCCTCGGCTGATACACCCTGCAGAGTAGTAGTGCCCTGCTGGTCCTGCAGACTGAGAGCAATCGCCTTCTGCAAGTCGTCATTCTCATCACAAGACAGATCAATTGTGGGTATATCCTTATTTGTAGGAGGCTCCTGTGGAGGCGGATGATCACCTGGACCCGCAGTGGGCTTGGGAGGGTCAGATCCCACTGTGATGGATGGAGGCATAGCGGCCTCCAGGGGGGGCACAATGTCACTCTCACCGGTCTTGTCGCGCGCCACCCCACACATGGGACACCTGCCTCACACCTCACCAAGCCACAAAACTTGAAGGCTACTTCATTGAAAGATGAATCGTCTTATTACCTTCAGCAAAATGGATTTCATATTTATAATACGTAGTAATATCCACATAAAAGCACAACATTAATAACTTGGTGTAATATTATTTTTCATTATATACACAATTTTTAATATATTATTTACATTTGTGAAAACCACACAAATGTCGAGTTTATTTTGTGGCCTTTTTCCGGTTTTGTTATTTGAACCTTTCCATCTATGAAGACCTGTATGTGGCCTTTTCACACATTTATTATATTTTAATCACGATTTTGTTTATTAAATTCTGAAAAATAAAGACCATAATAGTTTTAGTAGACACAAGGCATAAACAATTATTTTAATTACCCAATGTGTTAACAAATTTTATGCCCAATTGTCTTCTGTATGCCAATTAAGTGGCATTTCCAATACACAAAAATCATTAGCATTCATTAAACAATACAAAAAGATAATTAACAATATATATGATTACATTATACAAACCATTTAACAATGAAATAATACAACCTATCCTTCTACCCCAATGTTAGTATAGTGTATAAATACTAAATCCTTGTAAACTCAATACACTAAAGATAAACTATTACAGTGTATAGTACAGCCTCACTTCAACAACATCTAATATTTGTAGCGAGTAAACGTTATATTCGCTCCAACCTCTCATTACATCAGTGATAAACTTAATTAGCACTGATTATGACTAATCAAATCCTTTCCCCTAAATACAGGAAACATTCTTTCCATCCTCTTGGAGGAAGCTGAGGTGTAGTCACCAAATATAAGCAAGCGAAAAGTGAATAGCCATCAGTGCAATTTCCACAGAAATTCAGATAACTTCAGTACAGACACTTTGGATTTACCACACCTCTTCAACCTCAAGAATGTAGCACTCTGCGTGTACAGTTCTAATCGACCCCAAGACACTACAGCTTCAACACAGAGAAGACAGCAGACTACAACCGCATCGAGTTACAATAGACACTCGCGATTCCCCATTGAACCGCCACGCTCTCCCTCATAGAGCTCCGCGACTCCGGTCTCACTCAGCTCTCTATTCTGCTCCAAGCTCTGTCTCAACGTCTACGACACTGCCAACAACCGACTACAGTAATCAAGACTACTAAATAAATATGAAACCCACTAAACACTGTATCTAATCTACCCAACAACATTCTGAAAATGTAGGACAGGTAAGCTACAAGGCTTTCTCTGTATACAAGGTAAGGTAATTATCAAAAGAAGGCACCAATCCGGGAAGGCTATGTAGCACCATCAAAATGCGAAATAATCAGAGGGCGCTAAATATCACCAAGAATGTCAATACGAGAACAAAATCGCATAAGGCGAACGATATCAAAAGTATCCGATTCACCTAGAATTCTATCGAGGGACAAGTGACCGCGAGGGACGGTCGGAAAGCAATTCTCTGTATACAAAACTTTCCTAACTGTATCTTACCCGCCATACTAAACTATACTTTCTTCAGTATCATAGCAGATATAAAAACATTCACATACTGTACTGTATATTAAAAACATATACAGTATGCAGATAATACACAGAAAAGGTGATTAAACCCTGCACTGTGCATAGCACCTTATGTGCTTATTGAGTGGTGAGCACGATTCCATATGGCATTTTGAGATATAGGGAGCGATTCACATCTCGTGCGAGTACAAGGGGCTCATCCTGTAATCACCTAAGTGTAGTTACAGGATGAGAGCTACGCTTTGTGGAGTCATATCTTATTCATTTTCCAACTTTAGCCTTACAAAGATCGTGAACAATTTCTTTAGTATTTCACCATCCATGCCCTCTCAATAATGAGAGGATATGGATGGCAAATAAAAGCCATTCTGAAGTTGGAAAGCATAGCATAGGTTGCTAGCACAATTTTCTTTATGTGGTCCTCAGGTGATAGTTTTCTATCTAGAACCACTCCTAGATATGCATCAGAATTTTTAAAGCTTTTTTGCATAATTGCAAGTCATGTGGTCTTTTAATCCTATTCCACATTCCATAACATCATATTTATTCACATTAAATTATCTTACCTTACTTATCTTCCCTAGTATCTGAGCTCATCAGTAAACATGTTCATATAATTCTGCATTCCTTCTGGTAGTTTGTTTATGTACACAATGTACATTACCGGTGCAAGAACTGAACCCTGTGGTAGTCTACTCATGACATTTTTCCAGTTGAGCAAGCCCGTGAGCTCCTGCCTGTAGAGAGGTTACCTCCCTGGGAGGATGACTCATGCAAGATCATCATCAATGAAATGGCAATGAAAAAATCCAACATGATACCACAAGAAATGAGGCACAAGTATCTCGAGGACATTTATAAAGAAGCCGGAGATGAACTAGATCAAATCTACACTGACGGGTCATCTAATCCTATCAATGGCAGGGCTGGTGCAGCATACACGGTAATCAAGGATAATACCTTCCAACGCAGAAATGAAGAAAAAGCACGTATTGAGAACTATGCCTCTTCAACGCAAGCAGAGCTAACTGCCATTGTTATGGCGTTAAGGTTTCTTGAACGGAACACTAATGGTGCAGTGATTTGCACCGATTCAAAAGCAGCACTGCAAAGCCTAAGTAAAAATCAGGCAGAAAATCTTGCAATAGTCGCTGAAATCAAGAGAGCTGTGAGAGTACTTACCAATCAGGGAAGAGTCATCAAGTTTCTGTGGATCCCCTCCCATGTTGGAATATGTGGGAATGAACGAGCAGATGTGCTGGCTGCTGAAGGCGCTGAAGGAGACCATATTGAATACTTCATACCCAAGACTCAACTACAAATTAGAGGTATTATCAGGCAACATCACCGTGACAAGGTAACTGAGGAAAGGAGGATAGAAGCACAAACCAGTGAATCTGTACGATGGTACAACATGGTTGCAGCTGGCAATCCCAATCAGTATGGCCGAAGAGGAGGACGACGAGTGAGAGAATCTGTAATAGCGAGAATCCGTCTTGGATACAAATATCCATGGAGATTTGGAATGGAAACAACAGTTGATCAGCGAAGTTGCAGAATCTGTGGTGAGAGTGATGGACACCGCCTTGACCACTATCTACGTGAATGTGAACACCTGAGAGACATTAGGAATAACTGTAGAATAATAAACCCCACATTGTTTGAGTTAGGAAAACACTATTTGTCAAATATTGATACTGTTCTTAAAAGATTTCCCCATTTTGCACCCGCAAGATAACGTAAGCTTTTAAGGGTTGATAAATGTTAATCTTCTTGTTTGAGGAGCTGTTCACTTGAGACAGTTAAGCAAGTCCCAGCTGTGTCTGGGTACAAGTGACAGGATGAACAACCCAGCGGGTTTTCTTCCTATTGGGGAGTGTTGTACATTCTGCTATGGCGGTATGTTCACTCACAAGATGAGTGGCGCTGCCCAATAAACTCGCCCCTCGGGGCAAAATTTAAAAAAATTTAAATTTTTCCAGTTCGATACATTGCCTCCGATTACTGCCCTCATTTTTGTAAGAAAATTTTTCATTCATGCTAGAAGCCTCCCTGTCACTCCTCCAGTATGCTCTAGTTTCCAAATAACCTCTTATGTGGAACTCTGGTGAAAGCCTTTTTTCAGGTCCAGATAGATGCAGTCAACCCAACCATTTCTTTCCTATAAAATTTTTGTGGCTTTATCAAAAGAAACTAAGTACTGTACTTAAATTCATTACACAAGATCTTCCAGATCAAAAACCATACTGTTTGTTGTTGCTACTACTACTACTATGTACTACTACTACTACAGTACAGCATGTAAATTTTCTCCAGGTGTTCTACCCATTTAATTATAATTTTTCATGATTTTGACTATTACAATGATACAGGTCTTCCCTGCTGCCACTTTTGTAGATTGGAACTACGTTAGCCTTTTTCCATATATCTACTAGGACTTATGTACACAGGAATATCTGAAAAATTAATTGAAGTGGAATGATGCGCTCAGGTGCACACACTCTTAGAACCCAAGGTGAAACTCCATCTGGGCCAACTGTTATTTATTAGCTCCTTGAGCATTTTTATATCCTTGCGCATATTTTATTTTAGAGCGGAGTATCCACAGCTCCTGCCCTGATCCACAGCGGAAGGGTTAAAACTAGATTTTACTTTAGTGTCTAAATGTTATAACATAAAATGACGACTACAGAACTGTAGAGTACTGCATTACGAAAGCCATCTTCTGCTCACCACATAAGCTAATTTGATAGTAGTATTTATATTCTAGTGTCATGAGGCTTCCTGTCACCTTTAAAAAGTTGTATGTACTGTAATTGCTGTAATGTATTTGTACTGAAGATGTAATGTAGTTCCATAAATTTTAATCAACTAAATCTTTTATAAACCTCATACAGGCAAAAATAAAAAAATAAACCGCACGAGGTCCCAAGGGTGCCGATACAGTATATATAATTTAGAATCGGCAACCTTACTCAACTTGCCAAACACTGTAGTTAATAAGTATGCAACCTAAATATATAATAATTTTGTAGGTTGTCATTACATAACACTTCACTGTCTTGGGAATCCACGAATGTCACCCAATACTGGCACTGAACTTTCAAAAGGCCTGACCAACAATAAGTTCTAATTATCTTGAGGTTATCTTGAGACGATTTCGGGGCTTTTTAGTGTCCCCGCGGCCCGGTCCTCGACCAGGCCTCCACCCCCACGAAGCAGCCCGTGACAGCTGACTAACACCCAGGTACCTATTTTACTGCTAGGTAACAGGGGCATAGGGTGAAAGAAACTCTGCCCATTGTTTCTCGCCGGCACCTGGGATCGAACCCAGGACCACAGGATCACAAGTCCAGCGTGCTGTCCGCTCGGCCGACTGGCTCCCCTGAACGAAATTTGTTAATCTTTTGATCAAGTTTCAACCTATAACTCGACTCCACTGTAGTTTTCATTTCAAAACTCATTTCGTGGACAGCTTACACGCAAACAAGAGATCGAGCTTTTCCCACAATTTAACAATTTAGTATTCATTAGTAATCACTAATATTAGTACACTACATCACGACACAATGGTATAACTTTTTCACCGTTTGGAGACACGGAAGACGTCTTTAAGAGTTAACAGTTGCGATTGTATTTGTTCTAGGACCTAATGATCGTAGCTATTCACACTGATCAACAAACTATTTTAATAATGATGCATTCTATTAATGTTATCATTGCTTGCAAGTAATACAAGCAAGAAAGTGTTTCTGGTGGCAGCTTGCAAGGTAAGGCCGGTCACTGCGGCTAGGCCGGTCACTGCGGCTAGCAAGAAAGTGTTTAGGCTGGGGCTGGCAGGCCGGTCACTGGGGCTAGGCCGGTCCCTGGGGCTAACACATTTATTGCGGCTAAGGTGGTCACTGCGGCTAGGCCGGTCACTGCGGCTAGGCCGGTCACTGCGGCTAGGCCGGTCCCTGGGGCTAGGCCAGTCCCTGCAGCTAACCAAGTCCTTGCAGCTAGGCCAGTCCCTGCAGCTAGGCCAGTCCCTGCAGCTAGGCCAGTCCTTGCAGCTAGGCCAGTCCCTGCAGCTAGGCCAGTCCCTGCAGCTAGGCCAGTCCTTGCAGCTAGGCCAGTCCCTGCTGCTAGGCCAGTCCTTGCAGCTAGGCCAGTCCCTGCTGCTAGGCCAGTCCTTGCAGCTAGGCCAGTCCCTGCAGCTAGGCCAGTCCTTGCAGCTAGGCCAGTCCCTGCAGCTAGGCCAGTCCTTGCAGCTAGGCCAGTCCTTGCAGCTAGGCCAGTCCCTGCAGCTAGGCCAGTTCTTTTGGCTTGGCCAGGGTTTTTTTGTAGCTTGATCAGTCCTTGTGGCTAGGCCAGTCCTTGTGGCTAGGCCAGCCCTTGTGCTGCTGCTGCTGCTGTTGCTGTGGGGCTGACGACGTTGCCAGAATGGGCTGCACCGGACCAGTCCTTGTGGCTAGGCCAGCCCTTGTGCTGCTGCTGCTGCTGCTGTGGGGCTGACGACGTTGCCAGAATGGGCTGCACCGGACCAGTCCTTGTGGCTAGGCCAGCCCTTGTGCTGCTGCTGCTGCTGTGGGGCTGACGACGTTGCCAGAATGGGCTGCACCGGACCAGTCCTTGTGGCTAGGCCAGCCCTTGTGCTGCTGCTGCTGCTGTGGGGCTGACGACGTTGCCAGAATGGGCTGCACCGGACCAGTCCTTGTGGCTAACGAGCCCAATTCACTCGAGCCCCGCCCCCCGGGCTCTAATGGCCTCGTTAGCAAAGAGGCTTTTGACTAGGCCAGCCTGGGGTCACATGCGGCTTGTTTACCCTCTGCTGTGGGGGTCCATTGTGGGGGGAGAGGGGGTCACACACCCGCCCCGCCCCTCACCTGGCCCTCTGAGGGGGGTCGCTGCCCCCCTGCTGCTGGGAGAGGAGGGAGAGTGGAGCACTTTTTGGGGGGATCGAGGAACCGTGGGCGAGCCTCACACTCACACACATGCACACGGCAGCCAAGCCATACCTGGCCCCACAACACGGGAACACCACCAACCTCTGCTCCCCCCGTGACGCTCGCACTGCGCACACACACACACTCACTCATACACTCATACATACACACACTCATACACACACACACACACACTCACACTCATACACACACACTCACTCATACACACACACAACTTATACACACTCATATTCTCTCTCTCTCTCTCCCTCTCTTACACACACACACACACACATAATCATTCACACACACATATACTCATACATACACACACTCACTTATATGCACACAGACACTCTCACACTCATATACACACACACACACTTCACTCATACACACACACAACTTATACACACTCACTCTCTCTCTCTCTCTCTCTCTCTCTCTCTCTCTCTCTCTCTCTCTCTCTCTCTCTCTCTCTCTCTCTCTCTCTCTCTCTCTCTCTCTCTCTCTCTCTCTCTCTCTCTCTCTCTCTCTCTCTCTCTCTCTCTCTCTCTCTCTCTCTCTCTCTCTCTCTCTCTCTCTCTCTCTCTCTCTCTCTCTCTCTCTCTCTCTCTCTCTCACACACACATACGCACACACATACGCACACACATACACACACACATACACACACATACACACAAAATTAATTGCCTCACATGATTAATTGAAGTCTACGAACAGGCAAGAAAGAGAGGTGTGTGCAGACTGCATATTTTTGGACTGCCATAAAGCCTTTGATACAGTACCACTCAAGAGGCTAGTGAAAAAGCTGGAGATACAGGTAGGAGTGAAAGGGAAGGTACTCCATTGGATAACGGAGTACCTAAGCAACAGAAGACAGCGAGTCACTGTGAGGGGTGAAGCCTCAGATTGGCGAGACGTCACCAGTGGAGTCCCGCAAGGTTCAGTCCTTGGACCTATACTGTTTCTGATATATGTAAATGATCTCCCAGAGGATATAGAATCATTCCTCTCATTGTTTGCTGATGATGCAAAAATTATGAAGAAGATTAAAACAGATGAAGATAGTAGGAGGCTACAAGATGACCTAGACAAACTGAATGAATGGTCCAACAAATGGCTACTAAAGTTAAACTCGAGTAAATGCAAGGTATTGAAACTAGGCGGTGGAAACAGGAGACCAGACACAGGATACCGAATGGGAGATGAAGTACTTCATGAAACGGACAGAGAGAAAGATCTAAGAGATGATATCACTCCAAACCTGTCTCCTGAAGCCCACATAAAAAGAATTACATTTGCGGCATAGGCGAGGCTGGCTAACATCAGAACAGCCTTAAGGAACCTGTGTAAGGAATCATTGAGAACCTTGTATACCACATATGTAAGACTAATCCTGGAGTATGCGGCCCCAGCATGGAGCAAGACTTGATCGAGTACCCAAATGAGCCACAGGGACGTTAGAAAGAACTTTTTCAGTGTCAGAGTAGTTAACAGGTGGAATGCATTAGGCAGTGATGTGGTGGAGGCTGACTCCATACACAGTTACAAATGTAGAGATGATAGAGCCCAGTAGACTCGGGAATCTGTACACCAGTTGATTGACGGTTGAGAGGCGGGACCAAAGAGCCAGAACTCAACCTACGCAAGCACAACTAGGTGAGTACACGCAGATACACACACACACACATTTACCTGAGAGTCACTAACACTAGTGGCCTCGACGAGGACAGGAAGCTGGCGGCTTGTCGAAGGTCTCCCCCATTTGCCTTGATGATCTTTTCCAGTTGTAATTTAAAGGTTCAACAGAGTTTTGGCATTTACGGCTTCGGCGGGTAGGCGTGTCCATGGGTTAATAACCCTATGGATGAAAAATCATCTATTCTCAGTCCTACATTAAGGCTTGTTGAGCTTGAAACCGTTGTTCCAAACGTCAAACAATCCTTGTAAATATTTTTTTTTTTTTTTTTTTTGAGATATATACAAGAGTTGTTACATTCTTGTACAGCCACTAGTACGCGTCGCGTTTCGGGCAGGTCCTTAATCCTATGGTCCCTGGAATACGATCCCCTGCCGCGAAGAATCGTTTTTTCATCCAAGTACACATTTTACTGTTGCGTTAAACAGAGGCTACAGTTAAGGAATTGCGCCCAGTAAATCCTCCCCGGCCAGGATACGAACCCATGACATAGCGCTCGCGGAACGCCAGGCGAGTGTCTTACCACTACACCACGGAGACTGCAATAAGATCCATAAGATCAATAAGATCCACTCTGTCATGCCTGGTCTGCAGTGTCGTTAGCCCTGTGGCCCTCAACCGTTCCTGATACAGGAGATGACTTAGCTCTAGAATGATTTTTGTTGCCCGGTGTTGCACCTTCTCCAGAGCAGCTATATCCTTCTGAAGATGAGGTCTCCATGCTTGGATGCAGCAATCCAAATAGGAAGACCAGAGATTTATACAATTGAATCACTACCTTCTTTTCCTTGAAATCGAAGGTACGCTTGATTATTCAAAGTGTTTTGTTAGCTTTGTTAATTGCGGTTCCTACTTGCTGTGCAACTTTCATTGAGTGGTGTATTTTGACACTAAGGTCCTTTTCTTCATCAGTCTGCTGTAATGTAATATTATCAATTTGGTAGTTGTGGCACGGGTTGTTGACAAAACAACCCACATGCAGGGTCTTGCATTTGTCAATGTTAAAAAAGCATATTAATATTAACACTTACCTGAATTTACCTTAGAGCCACTATATCTCTAGTGGCCTCGACACGGACGGGAAACCAGCGGCTTGTCATGAGTCTCCCATTTGTTCTGATGATTTTGTCTATTTGGATCTTAAACTGTAGCAGTGTTTTGGCATTTACGACTTCGGCGGGTTTGAAGTTCCGTGTGTTTATAACCCTATGGTTTTATATAAACCCTTCCATGGGTTTATAACCCAACGGTTAAAAAAGCATCATCTGTCTTCTGGCCTACATTGTGGTGATTCCATATGTTGGCCTCCGAATGCATGATAGAGCTGATGTGTTAGCCAAAGAATCTGCCTTTAAAGGCGAAATTGAGGCGGCTTTTCGAAGGTCACCCCATGTGCCCTGATGATCTTTTCCAGTTGGATTTTAAAATGCATTTGCAGCTTCGGCGGGTAGGCAGTTCCATGGGTTAATAAGGTTTCGTTCCTACAAGAGATCTTCCCCGGCTTCCCAGCTTTCTTTGCCGTATAATGCTTTGAAAGTACTGACGGTTTTGGCCTCTACCACCTGCTCACCTAACTTGTTCCAAATCTCTACCACTGTTTGCGAATACAGGACACCTGCGTGTCCTGCCCTCTGCTAGCTGTCTGGCCTGATGACCTTCCTGCAGCCTGGGCTGCCTGTTGACTGGCCGGCCCGTCTTCCCTGCGTTCTGAGACGCCCTCTCCTTCTGCACCCTCTATCAGTAGCCTCTGGTGGGGTATTCCTCCTCCCCCCCCCCCCCGGGCTTCCCGGAATTTTCGTCACCTCAAGCATCACTGATTATTCCTCTTTTCCAAAGTGAAATAAATACCAGTAATTCCATCTATCATGCAAGAGGAGTCAAACATCTATGGTTCATCCAATAAAATCAGCAGATTTCTATAGATGTTACTACTGCTCGGCTTAGACTCGGTTACAAGTATCTTTGGGAATTCTCATTATCTGCTGATGTAGACCTAACCAAATGTAAACTGTGTCAACAAAATTATTTGCACGCCCTACGTCACTGTGTGATGGAGTGCGAAAAGATACTTGAATTCAGAGACAATTCTATAACAAATGTTCCAGAGATGTGTAAATA